AAAAAGAAAAAAAAAAAAAAAAAAAAAAAAAAAGAGCGTACCGTCAAGATAGGGGCAGACGGCAGGTCAGCAGACAATGCTAAAAAGGTCTCTCCCTTGAAACGTAGTTATAAACTCTAATGGGATAATGCATTGGATACGTTGTTACGATAGAGTTCTAACGGACTATTGGTTTCAGGAAGTAGTGGAGACAACAAAAAGTTATTGGTGATTTAAGAAATATTGGGGAAGCCATGTCACCCCATAACTCCCCATAAATCTATGTTATCTCCACCACTAGCTAAAAGTAATAGTCTATTAGAACCATATCGGAATAATGTATCCAATACATTATCCCGTTAGAGTTTTTAACTACGTTTCAAGGGGGTGAGTGTAATTATCGATACCATAGGGACCTTAAAATTATTTAAGCATACCGCAAGGGTGTGGGTTTAATTTACCCTTAAATTTATTTGCATAAAATCCAATATTGAGGGACCAACAAAGCAACTCCAATGGAAGAACTAAATGAAGTATCAAACTAAAAAACTACCACTTTGATACTTTAAAATTAAAAAATCCTCCTCCAATGGATGCATTAAAGTGAGAATTATATTGATACTCAACCATCCTGATGTGCAAAAATACTCCCTGGAAAATGAAGTATAAAAAATGTAACCGCCATTAACCTATAACTATTTGAAAATTTTATGCTTAACAATGGGCTCATGGATGTGGGATTTGTGGGGTCGAAATTCACCTGGTGCAATAATAGAGTGGGTGCAGCTCGGGTGTGGAAACGTCTGGATAGAGTTTTGATCAATAATTCGTTGCAAAGTATATTTCCTAATATGGCAGTTCGACACCTAGATAGGGTGTGTTCAGATCATGCGCCTCTATGTATTCAATTTGAGGGAGAGAAACGTAAGGCTAAAAGTCAATTTCACTTTCAGAGAATGTGGAGTGATCACCATGACTTCCTTAATGTTATCAAATCTTCATGGGATACACCGGCAGAAGGATCACCAGGACAAATATTTTGCGAAAAACTGCGGCGGCTTCAACGTGTGCTTAAAGATTGGAATTGGTCGGTTTTTGGAGATCTTCAACTCAAGATTAAGGCTCTGCAAGATCAAGTTCAAAGTTTGGAAAATCAGCTGCAAGGAGCATGGGATGAGCAGACATTTCAGAATTCCCTGGCGGCCAAAAGAGAGCTCCTCCAACTAGAAGAATGGGAAGCGGAACTTCTTTGCCAGAAAGCGAGGATTGCTTGGTCTAAAGATGGTGATAGAAACACGAAATTCTATCATGCAACTATAAAAGATCGACGCTGGAAACAACATATTACATTAACGAAGCGTGATGGCACTAGGACTCAATCTGGCAAGGAAGTGGCGGAGGTGGCAGCGGAATTTTATTCAGAGCTTTTCCGGGCTTCTGCATATTGTATTGACGAGGAGTTATTTGCTCATATTATTCCGACTGTGACTAGGGAGATGAATGCTGGATTTTGTGTTTTACCAACGGAGTTGGAGGTTAAAGAGGCAATGGAAGGACTTAATCCGAATAGCTCTCCGGGTGAGGATGGATTTACGGGCTATTTTTATCGATCGTGTTGGAGCATTATCAAAGGTGATCTAATGGCGGTGATCAAAGACTTCTACAGCGGAGGTTATCTTCCATCGGGGTTCACTAAAACTCTATTAGTGCTTATTCCAAAAACTCCGTATGTTGCAGAGAGTGGCGAATATCGACCTATCAGCCTTGGAAATTTTTCCGGAAAAATTATATCTAAAATTATGGCTAATAGAATGGCTGGAATTCTTCCTGGTATAATTGAGGAGGAGCAAGCTGGCTTTGTTAAAGGCCGGAGCATAACTACTCATACAGTGCTTGCCCAAGAGCTAATGGGTAACTTAAATAGATCCTCGAACGGAGGTAATATGGTGGTTGAATTGGATATGGCCAAAGCTTACGATCGCTTAGAATGGAGATTTTTACTTCGAGCCATGACAACATTTGGATTTACCCACCAAGCTTGTGATCTTATATATCGTAATATTTGCAATATAGGATATGGTTTTTGAATCAATGGAGAGATTGTGGGGCATTTTCGCTCGTCGCGAGGGGTTCGGCAAGGGGACCCTTTATCTCCCATGATTTTTATTATGGGGCAACAAATATTAACTGCCCACTTAAAGAAAGGAATCACGGGAGGTCAGATTCGTCCATACAAGATGGGGAGGAATGAGCTTGGGATTTCGCATCTTTTTTATGCCGACGATGTGCTTATTTTTACAAATGGGCACCCACAATCGGTTACCTCTCTTAAGGAGATTATCAATAAATATGAGCGGTCATCAAGACAGAAGACAAATATGACAAAAAGTGGACTCTATCTGGGCAAAGGGGCGACTGCTTTTAAAGTTCAAGTGGAAGGCATTTTGGGAATCAAAACCAAGGATTTTCCGATCATCTATTTGGGAGTTCCAGTTTCGGTGGGACGTAACAAGGCGGTTGATTATGAATTTTTAGTTAGTAAGATCCGTATGAAACTTGAGGGTTGGAAAACACGATTACTCTCTTTTGGCGGGAAAATTACATTGATTAAATCCGTCTTAGCTAGTGTTCCAGTATACACACTCGCATGCTCTTACGTTCCAAAATCCGTTCTTAATCGTATTGAACAGCTCATGGCCATGTTCTTATGGAGCTCTCGTGGAGCTGCGCGATTTCATTGGGTCAAGTGGGGCAAGATATGCAAACCAGTTGAAGAAGGTGGATTGGGAATTCGAAATTTGGCCCAAGTACAGAGGTGCATGCACGGGAAACTCATGTGGATGGTTTATAAGGGGGGCACTCTCTGGTCGAAGTTTGCAAAGCAAAAATATTTTCAAAATGGCGAGCTGGTTCATAAATATTTTACATCGGCGATTTGGAAAACTATAAGTCTTCACGGCCCATTGATTGAGAATATTTCTCGGTGGATTATAGGGAAATGAAATATCAAATTCTGGCGGGAGAATTGGCTTGGGGAACGGCTCAACTGTCCAACATTTTAAAACCACGAGATAACGGTCCGAGAAGGCTTAGATCGGCTAGAGGAACTCTTACAGTACATTCCTCCGAGCCTTCAAAAAGGTGTACAACATGTGGTTCTTCGCCCAGACAAGGATGACGAGTTGATTTGTACTGTTTCCAGTTCTGGGGAGTTTTATGCGAAAGATTATTGGGAACTTCTTGCAGTTACAGGAGGGCGTCACCAGTGGGCAGAGAGGTTGTGGCAGCCATATATCCCTTTTAATTCGTCGGCCTTCTTATGGAAAGGATCCCACCACGCTCTCCCAGTGGATGACCGCATAATTCAAAAAGGAATCCCCATTGCTTCGAAATGTAACTGTTGTCTAGTGCCTCGTTCGGAATCCATACAACATTTGTTACTTTCCTCAGATTGTGCCACTAAGGTGTGGAGTCACTTCTCGCATATTTTTCACACTCCTTGGAACAAGAACTCTATTGTGCTCAGCTTGCTGTTATGGTCTTACCAAACGAAGGACTATAACTCGTTTGCGGCAATTAAATTGTCGACGTGCGTATTAATTATGCATGGGATATGGAAAGCCCGGTGTAGCGCTCGGTTTGACGAAGAAATTATAAATCCTTTATCGATTATTCGGAGAATTATGCATCAATTGGGATTGGTGGCGATGCAGCTAAAACCAAAAAAGAAGAACTCCCCGCTCCAAGATAACATTCTTCAAAGTTTGAGGCTGCCGAGTGCTCCTGTGCGCGAACCGGTTCGCCGGTGGTTCCGGTGGGAGAAGCCTCCGTTAGGTCTTTATAAGTTGAATGTGGACGGGTCGTCTAAGGAGGGGTTGTGTGCGGGTGGAGGAATAATCCGAGATGGTCACGGGAGATTAGTGGCCGCTTTTTCTTCCTTTTATGGCCATGGTTCGAATAATAAAGGTGAATTGTCGGCTCTCTTAGATGGATTACAGGTCTGTCAAGCCTTGCGGCTGAGTAATGTTATTATCGAGAGTGATTCTGTGATTGTAGTCAATGCTATACAGGGGAGATCGTCAATTAGTTGGGACCTTACATATATGCTTCGCCAATGTAGTGAAATGCTTCCGTCGGGTTACTCAATTACTCATATTGTTCGGCAAAAGAATGTTGTGGCGGATCGGCTCGCGGCTTGGGCATACAATCACATGGGTTATCAAGATTTTTTTCAAACTAGGGATCTTCCAAGCTCTGTTTGGGGTATGTTTCGTTGCAATCAGTTGGGTTTATGGGAGTTACGAAAATGAAGATGGCGTGGTGGGCTGACTTTTTGATATTCCATAGTTGCCCCAATATGAACACTGATGTTCAAATACAAAATCAGCTGCATGAAGTTACGTGGAGAGTTTTTTCTAGTTGGCGGAATTGCATATTAATCCCTGCCCGGGGTCCTTTTACAAATATCGAGACTGCTATAGGAATAGAAGTTTTAGTTTTTCTCAGTTTTACCCCATTTTGGGATTTCATTGTAATAGACTCTATAGGGTCGTTTATGATTTTTTATTGCCATTGTAGGGGTACTCTTTTTCCCTGTGATAGGCCCACAGGGTTTTAACGAGGCCCTAAACGTTTTATCATAATGGAATAATAAAATCTTTTTTGGCCAAAAAAAAAAAAATAAATAAAAAAATTGTATTTGTAACCTTGGAAAAAAAGTAGTTGTAATATGTACATTAATTGTTTAACTATTTACGGATAAGGTCATACAATCATGGTTGACTATGAATATTGCGCCCCTATTTTGTTTGTTGTTCAATATTTCCAACTTAAATTTAAAATTGCCTCAACTTTCAAGTAAATATAGATAAAAACTTAATAGTATTTTTTTAGTTATGATGGCCTCAACTTATGTGTACTTTGTTTCTATATTTACAAAATGGCCTCATCTTCTATAGATGGACAAAACCTATTGCCCTAAACTTACTTTAGTTGTGTTTACTACCATGACATTAACGATGGTGTGTATAAGGTAACATGAATACCGAACTTCTTTAAATTGTATTTGTGTCTATATGTAAATCAAAAGTATAGTTTTTGTTGTTTTCTAAAACATAAAACAAAAATAATTTATATAAAATATTTGCCTAAATAGTTACATATACATTGTGAATTGTAAAATATTAGCGTCTATCTCTCATGGTATCTAAACATCCTAACAACTACTAGGATATAGTTTCATATGCTATATAATCACTCAGATTTGAGAAATTTCATTTCAATTGTAATATTTACATTAGTTTTTTCAAGTTACAACATACAATATAAATTATTGTAATAAGAATACTATATGTGTGTGATGGTGAAAATCTAAAAAGGGAATAAACTTAAAGCAAATACTTAATATAGAAAACAACTAAGAGCATCTCCAATCGGTTTCACCATTTTTTCACCAAATCCTATTTATGGTGGTGAAAAAACGGGTTCATCTCCCACCGGTAGCACACCATTTTACTCTTCCACCATTTTTAGTGGAAAAATGGTGGTTTTGGTCTCCAATGGGTATCACCAAAATTTAGACCAAATATTAAAAAATAATATTTCACCATTTCACCACTTATAGGAAATAGAATTTGGTTTGGTCTCCAATGGCATTTCACCATATATACTCCAAAACTATAAATCTAATGTTAATCGTAATTTTATAATATTTTATTTCCTAAATATTAATTATAGAACCAGTGCTAAGTAATAAATTTTCTCAACTAAATAATTTAAAAATTATGTTATTAATTTTAAAAATTGTCTAAACATGAAATAACATGAACTCAAATTATTTCAAATATAATAAAATCATACATAAACAATAATCTCATAAATTATTGCATAAATAAAATATTACAACATACATCAATTTGAAATCATAAAAAAAATCTCATTCACCATTATTATCATCATCATCACCATCATAATCTTTAACATCACCGATTTGAGCACGTTTATCCCACAAGTGTTTTGTTAATCATTCTATTGTTGCTTATTGTATTTTATTAATAGCAATTAGCGTATTAGTTAAGTAAAGAGATGAACTAATAAACATTGATACCAACAAAATAAACAAATTAATTAAAAATAAGCATATTTATATTTTTAGAGTTAATGTTTTGTTAATAATAACAAATGTATTTATATTCTGTCAAAAAAAAAATGTATTTATATTTTAAAAACTAATTTAATAATTAATACCTATGTATTTACGATAAATATGCTAATAAGTTGGTAATCGGGTGCAATTAGTTAAAATCGTCATTTTATATGGTACTTAATAAAATGGTGTTAATTACGGCAAATCCTATTTTCACCTCTATATTTGGTAGGAAAAATAGGATTTGGTGGAAAAAATAGGAAAATGGTGGACCGGTGGGAGATGAAAATTTCTTCACCAAAAAATTTGGTGGAAAAATAGGATTTGGGTATTTGGTGATATGGGGGTTGACCACGGTTGGAGGCTAAAACCAAATCTCTATAATTTTAGGTGTAATGGTGATATTGGAATTTTGGGTGGGAGGCTAAAAACACCTAAATTAGATGAAAAAATGGTGTTATGGTGTCCGGTTGGAGATGCTCTAAGCAATTGAGTAATACACCTAATTAATTGGAGATGACACATTAGCAATTGAACTCAACCTAATGAATTTAAAGATACACATAAGCAATGGGTATGACAAATGTCATTCATTCATGCATGCAATCATCTTTTTATATTATATATAGATCAATTTCGATTTGAATCAAATATTATGTTCTTATTTGCTAACTCTTGCCATATTTGAATGAAATCAATTTCGATTTGTATATATTTGTTTCTTAAAAGTGTAAATAATTTATAATATGTACCCAATATGTAATTAGATATGTTACTTATAATAGAGTATATAATATTTTCTAATAAATATCGAGTTTCAGTATTCTAATAATATTTTCATATACATTAGCATTAGTATTAGCATTAGTCTATTAGTATTAGTATTAGTATTAACGTTAGCATATTAAGATTAGTATTAGCATGGCATTAGCATATTATTATTACAATTATCACATTAGTATTAGAATTAACATTAGAATTAGCATTAGTATATTAAAATTAACATTAAATTACCATCAACATATTAGTATTAATACTAATATTAGTATTCCTATTAGTATTAGGATAAACATTTAGATTACGGTCAATATTAATTTCGAGATGATGACTAGGATGAAGATCAGGATTATGATCATGATCATTATTAGGATTAAGATTATGATTAAAATTCAGATTAGGATGATAATCATGATTAGCATTGGCATTAGCCTTTTATAATTGGCATTAGTATTAGAAATATCATATTACTATTAGCATTAGCATATTAGTATTAACATTATCATATTAGGATTTGTATTAACTTTGACATTAGGATATATATATTAATATTAGCATAATTAGTATATTATAGTTAGAATTAACATTGGCATATAAGGATGAACATTAAACTATCATTAGGATATTAATATTAGAATTGGGATTATGATTAGGATTAGTATTATGAATAATATTTGGATGATGATTAGGATCAAGATTAATGTCATAATTAGTATTAGAATTACAATTAATATTAAAATTAGAATTATATTAGTATTAGGATTATAGTTAGTATTAGTACTAGGATTACGGTTATATTAGGATTATGATAAGGATTAACATTGGGATTATGATTAATATTAGGATTATGATTATGACCAGAATTAGGATTAAAAATAGGATCAACATTAGGATTATGATCAAGATCATGATCATTATTAAGATTAGAATTATGAATAGGAATAAGATTACAAATATGATTTATATTAGGATTAGAATTATAATTAGCATTATATTTTAGGATATTCCGGAATCGTCGCTAGTTTGCGACTATTTTGACCAAAAAACGTCGCAAGATATCGGAAAATAAGATTTCGATGGAATATCTCGCGACGATACAAATAATCGTCGCCAGTATGCGACTAATGTCAATAAAACGTCGCAAAGGGAAAAAAAATAATAAAGCACTCTCGTAGCGACGTTTTTATATAACCGACGCATGAAAAATATTTTTTGCAATTTATTTTTTTACCTTCGCGACGAATATGACTTATACGTCGCTAGTGCAATTGTGAAAAAAAAAATATTGGGTTGGCGACGAATAAGGATAAACGTAGCGTAATAAAGAGGAAATATTAAATTATATTTATTCGTAGCGACGAAAATAGTGTATTCGTCGCAAGTAAAATACTTTGTTAAAAGAATTATAATTATTATTTGCGACGATAGTGTATTAATCGTCGACAAAATAATTATAGAAAAAATCTCGCTTTCCTATAGGGATGTTTCTTAAAGAAACGTCGCAAGTCTATTTAATTTTTTTTTGGGTTGCGACGAAAGAGATTAAAACGTCGCTACGAGATTCGTTTAAATCTGAATTGGCGCAAAAAATTGAATTAGAAGTCAGGCCTTAATCCCGTTTTCCCCATTTTCTCCGATTTTCTTCTCGTTTCTCTCTCTTTCAATCTTCCCCTCCGCCGGGTCCTCCCCTCCGCCTCCGCTGCCGCAGTCTGCCGCTGCTCTCCGCCGTCCGCCGCTGCTCTCCTCCGCCCATCTCTCCGCCGCTGCTCTCCACCGTCAGCCCATCTCTCCGCCGCTGCTCTCCACCGTCAGCTCATCTCTCCGCCGCTGCTCTCCGCCGTCCGCCGCTGCTTTCCTCTGAATTCTTATCCAAATCCAAGTCAACTGTCAAAGTAAGCATTTCACACACACACACAAGCATGAAATTATGATGATCTATTAATTAATAATAGATCATCAAAATTAGTGATATTTAATTTGTGTAGATTTAATCTTGATAATAGTATCCCACAATCACATACTAATAATTGTTGAAAATCGTAATTCATATTTTCAATAATGAAGTTGGAACATCATTCAAAGATGAAGACTTGACTTGTAGAAGTCAAGAAGGTTCTTGTAATTTGTTAAGTCTTTTACATTTCCTAAGAACTTGGGACTTGGAATGGAGTGTCTCTTTGTATCCATTCCTAGCCTATAAATTGTACCCAAGATGGGATTTGTAAGCAAGCAAGAAAGCAATAACAACAACTAAAAACTAAAAATTTCCAGCACTAAAAACCTCTCTTGTTCTTAAGTAATTCCATTGTTCTTCACTTCATAAAAATCTCTACACCAATTCTTGGTGTTCTTTCTTAACACCACACTTCCGCATATTAAAAACCCCAACAAATTTGGCATCAGAGCCAGCTTTCTTGGCTGGTCTCTCCACCCTTATTCGACGATCCAAACCTCTTTCAATTTCCAAAATATTTTTTCACCATGTTTTCACTTACCCCCAACCAAGTACCCATTTTCGACGGAGAACACTATGACTATTGGAGTAGTCAAATGCAAACTTTGTATATCTCTTTGGATCTTTGGGATATCGTGGAAAATACGTACGCCGAGCCACCAAAAGAAGCTACGAGTGAATCGTGGAGTGAAGCACAACAAAAACTTTACAAGGAGAATATTCGGAGAGATGCAAGTGCCTTGAGGTATCTTCAACAAGGCGTGAGTAAAACCATTTTTCCAAGAATATTTGGAGCAAAAAAGGCAAAAGAAGCTTGGGATATTCTACAACAAAGTTTTAAAGGAGATGAGAAAGTCACTTCTTTAAAACTCCAATCTCTTTGGAGAGATTTCGATAACATGGCGATGAAAGAAGGCGATGGAATGCAATCCTTTCTTTCCAAAGTTGCTGAAATCGTCAACCAAATTCGAAGTCTTGGTGACGTTATTGAAGAACGTAAAATTGTTCAAAAAATTCTAAGAAGTCTTCCGACGAAGTTCGATCATGTTGTTGCGGCCATAGAAGAATCTAAAAATCTTTCCACCTATACCTTTAATGAATTGATGAGTTCTCTTCAAGTTCATGAGGAAAGGTTGAATAGGTCATCAAATCAGCCCGTGGATCAAGCTTTTCAGTCAAAACTTCATATTTCGGACAAGAAAAGTTCAAGATGGCAAGGTGGAAGAGGCGGCTTCAACAACAAAGGAAAAAGACAAGGAAAATTCTTTAAAGGAGGAAAAGAACAACAATCTGAAAATTCTTTTTCGGGTTGTCGTATTTGTAAAAAATCGAACCATGAAACTAAAAATTGTTTCTTTAGATGCAAGAGCTGCAAGGATACGGACCACTCGTATTCTAAATGTCCAAGAAAAAATAAAGACGACAAAGACGAAGAAAACTTCTCCAAGCATGAAGAAGACCAACTCTTTTCTTGCATAAATGGGCAAAAAGAGTTCGAGAACGTGTGGTATGTCGATAGCGCATGTAGCACCCACATGTGTGGTGATCGTAGTATCTTTGTGGAGATAGATACTAATCACTACTCTAAAATAAAACTTGGAGACGGAAGCATTCTTGAAGCAAAAGGAAAAGGCGCAATTGATGTTAACAAGAAAAGAGGCAATCAAAAGCTCATTAAAGATGTTCTTTTCGTTCCGAACATCACTCAAAATTTATTGAGCGTCGGCCAACTTATGCAAAAAGGTTATCGATTACTTTTTGACGATAACGAGTGCAGCATATTTGATAAGAAAACGAAAACTCATGTGATGACAATCCAAATGACATCAAACAAGGTTTTTCCCTTTGTTATGTCGTTGGAAAGGGAAATGGCCTTCAAAGCAGAAAGTGTTGATAAATTCCATTTGTGGCATTTGAGATATGGTCATTTGCACAACAAAGGGCTGCAGCTATTGAAGCAAAAGAGTATGGTTGTTGGTCTTCCATCCATTGAAAGAAAGGAGCAAGTTTGTGAAGGGTGCATTTTCGGCAAAATGCATAGGCTACCTTTTCCTAAAACTTCTTGGAGAGCCAAATGTCCACTCGAGTTGGTGCATTCGGACATTTGTGGTCCTACGAGAACTCCATCTCTCGGTAACAAAAGGTACTTCATTCTTTTTGTCGATGATTTTTCAAGAATGATGTGGATATATTTTTTGAGTGAAAAATCGGAAGCTTTTTCGATTTTTCTACAATTCAAAGCTCTTGTTGAAAATCAAAGTGGATTAAAAATCAAGTCTTTACGGACGGATCATGGTGGTGAGTTTCTCTACGCACCATTCATGGAGTATTGCAAGAAAAACGGGATTCAAAGACAACTCACCGTTCGTAGAAGTCCACAACAAAACGGTGTAGCCGAAAGGAAGAATAGAACCATTGTCGAGATGGCGAGGAGTATGCTTCAAGGAAAAAGCTTGCAAAAACAATTTTGGGCTGAAGCTGTTCACACGGCTATCTACATACTCAACCGGTCCCCGACAAAGGCGGTTCTAGATAAAACACCGTACGAAGCTTGGCATGAAAAGAAGCCAACGGTGGATCACTTGAGAGTTTTTGGCTGCATTGCCTACTCTCATATCTCAACTCCAAACCGAGATAAATACGATGAAAAAGGTGAAAAATTAATTCTTGTTGGCTACAGCGATGAGTCAAAGGGTTATCGTCTTTATAACCCCGAAACTAAAAAACTCGTCGTGTCAAGAGATGTGATTTTTGACGAAATGGCCAAATGGAACAAGGAGGACAATTCTTCACCAAACTTGGTGTCAAATGATTCCTTGGAGTCACTTTTTGTACCGGAAGGGCAGCAGCAAAATGGAAATGAAACTCCATTAACAAGTCCTCAAGGAACACCTCCAAGAACACCTGAAAGAAGTTCCTCAAGTTCTTCGAGTTCGGATTCCGAATCTCCTCCAAGAAAGGTACGATCATTGAAAGATATTTATGAGCAATGTGATATTGCTTTCTTTGGTTGTGAACCTCAGAATTTTGAAGAAGCATCAAAAGAAGAAGTTTGGAGAAAAGCCATGGAAGCCGAAATTGAAACAATTAAAAAAAATAAAACTTGGGAGCTTGTGGATTTGCCACAAGGCAAAGATGTGATCGGCTTAAAGTGGGTGTTCAAAACCAAACTCAATGAAGACGGTTCTATCCAAAAACACAAGGCGAGATTAGTTGCAAAAGGCTATTCGCAGCAGCCCGGGATAGACTTCAATGAGACTTTTGCACCGGTAGCACGAATGGAGACAATTCGGTGTGTTCTTGCAATCGGAGCTCAATTGGGGCTGAATGTTTATCAATTGGATGTCAAATCCGCATTCCTTAATGGAGAGCTTAAAGAAGAAGTCTATGTTCATCAACCTCAAGGCTTTGAAGTTGCCGAAAAGGAGGAAAAAGTGTATCGTTTGAAGAAAGCTCTCTACGGATTAAAACAAGCACCACGAGCTTGGAATAGCGAAATCGATGGCTATTATTGCAAGAATGGATTTCAAAAAAGTCCAAGTGAGCCCTCACTCTATGTAAAAAAGGAAGGTACTCAAGATTTTTTGATCATTTGTCTTTACGTTGATGATCTTATTTATCTTGGTACTAACGTGAAAATGGTGAAGGAATTCAAGAAAAATATGATGCAAGAATTTGAGATGTCCGATTTGGGACTCATGAAATATTTTCTTGGAATTCAAGTAAAACAATCCGTGGGAGAGATTTTTATCTCTCAAGAAAAATACGTTGATGATTTGTTAAAAAAATTCAAGATGGAAAATTGCAAACCCGTGGCAACACCTTTGGCGGTGAATGAGAAGTTGCGACAAGACGATGGCGCTGAAAAAATTGATTCAAAAATATATCGAAGTCTTGTTGGTTCGCTTATCTATCTCACAAACACAAGACCCGACATAGTGCACTCCGTTAGCTATGTTTCGCGGTATATGAGTGAGCCAAGCAAGCTTCATTTTGCAGCGGCAAAGAGGATCCTTCGATACCTTCAAGGAACAAAGAAGCAAGGGTTGAAGTACGAAAAAGAAGAAAATAATGCCTTGATCGGTTTCACGGATAGTGATTGGGCAGGTTGTTTGGATGATCGAAAAAGCACTTCGGGCTATGTTTTCTCTCTTGGTTCGAAGGTGATTGCATGGAGTTCTAAGAAGCAAAAGACAGTTGCTTTATCTTCAAGCGAAGCCGAGTATATTGCCGCGGCGGATGCCGCTTGTGAAGCTGTTTGGCTTAGGAGAATTCTTTCGGATTTGCAAGAAAAGCAAGTGCATGCTACGACTATCTTTTGTGATAACATGTCTACAATTGCAATGACTAAAAATCCAGTCTTTCATGCAAGGTCCAAGCATATCGAGCTTCGACATCACTTCATACGTGATCTTGTTGAAGAAGAAGAAATCTCAATGAAATTTGATAACACCAATGATCAAGCTGCTGATTTTCTTACCAAAGCCGTGACAATCGAGAAGTTTGAAAAGTTCAAGAAGAAGTTGAAAATTATGAATTAAGAGAGGGTGTTGAAAATCGTAATTCATATTTTCAATAATGAAGTTGGAACATCATTCAAAGATGAAGACTTGACTTGTAGAAGTCAAGAAGGTTCTTGTAATTTGTTAAGTCTTTTACATTTCCTAAGAACTTGGGACTTGGAATGGAGTGTCTCTTTGTATCCATTCCTAGCCTATAAATTGTACCCAAGATGGGGTTTGTAAGCAAGCAAGAAAGCAATAACAACAACTAAAAACTAAAAATTTCCAGCATTAAAAACCTCTCTTGTTCTTAAGTAATTCCATTGTTCTTCACTTCATAAAAATCTCTACACCAATTCTTGGTGTTCTTTCTGAACACCACACTTCCGCATATTAAAAACCCCAACAATAATAATATAAAATTGTTAAATTTCAACATGGTAATGTGAGTTAACTGAGTTTGAATTCTCGAATCCGGGGGTTTAGGTTTTACTGCCTGGTGGTATTGGGTGAAAATGGATCGGTCGGCGATAACAGTCGGGCCGGGTATGGATATGCCGATCATGCACGGCAGTGATCGGTACGACTTCGTCCGGGATATCGGGTCGGGTAACTTCGGTGTGGCCCGGTTGATGAGAGATAAACAGACAAAAGAGCTTGTTGCGGTTAAGTATATCGAGCGAGGCGACAAGGTTAGTTCCGTGATTATATTCGCCAAATTGCTAATTTTCTGTGTGTGTGTGTGTGTGTTATGCTTCAGCTTGTTTTTGTTGCCTTTTTTCATGAAACCGCTTTTGAGTTGGTATTGAAGCTGGTATTGGTAAGCATGCAATTAATTTTGTCTGCACAAATAAGGAATTGCTATTTTGAGGAATTTTGCTGATTCCCCCCGGTATGTGATTGGTGTTTGGCGGATTTATAGATATATATTTTCCATTTTTGGGGATAATTGATGCGAAGCTTGCATTTGGATGAGATTAAAATTTCTTATTATTTCCTGTTACAGAGAAACACAGCCTGAACATATTAATTAATTAATCAATGGTGTTCCATGTTTGTTAATAAGAAATGATGCTCAATTCATGCATGTAAAATATTAGCCAGAGTAATTACGAATACACCAAGAGTTTCTCCCAAAAGGCCTACTGCATATGCATGAACAAGTTGATAGTTCTGTAGGACTAGTGAATTTATCGATACTTCTCCCCAAAAAAAATTGTTTGTGGTACCCCTGCTTTCTAGACGAGGGACTAACAGAAAAAAATATGCTGAAATAACTTTAGGTTATTGCAAATGCAGTTGATATTATATGTTGAGCAAGACCTAACATATGGTTTAGTGAGCTGATCACAATTATGGTGTTAGTGTTACTAGTATTTAGCTATACAAATGGATCATATGGCGGAAAATAGTTGTCCAAGTACTGTGGCAATTGTACATGATAGTGATCGATATGAGTTTGTTAGGAATATTGGATAGCGCGGGTTATGAAGGATAAACAGAGTAATGAGTTGGTTGCCATCAAGTACATTGAGCGAGGTGGACCGGTCAGCTTTGTAACTAAAATTGCATATTAAGAATGTTTATTTTGATCTCTGTTTGGCATGCAATAATTGTAGTGGTTCAGGCACTAGATCTTCTTCAAATGATATGATTCTCTTTTTGCAATTTTTTTTTTACTGTGATATGCAATTTTGCAAGATAAGAATATAATTACTACTTTGTTGAGTCTTCCTAGATAGTAAATACCGTAAGACATCTAATTCGGACTCGATAATTTTCCTTGTATTTTTCCCCCCTTTTTCCCCATGAAGGACTTCTTTCTTTTCCTTCTCCTGAGTAATTTGTGGCACTAAATTGAAATATTCAGCAATACTCGTCTTAAAAGTTCCCTTGTAAGTAATGCTCAGAATATGTTGCTTCAGGTGATTCTAACACCAACTCATCTGGCCATCGTAATGGAGTATGCATCTGGTGGAGAATTATTTGAGCGTATATGTAACGTAGGACGCTTCAGCGAGGATGAGGTTCTTAATTAATTTATTCCATGGTGATTTTGTAAGATATTTATGTTGCTGTTGGGATTATTTTATTGTATTGTCTGAAAATGTTTGCCATGCAGGCTCGTTTCTTTTTTCAACAACTTTTATCTGGAGTCAGCTACAATGTCATATTATGTTAAGCTTATTTCATAATCACAATTAAGTTTCACGCTGTATATGAAATATGATCGGTCAGCTTTTTTATTTTTATTTTTGATTTTTTTGTTTTGAAGCAAATATGTCATAGGGACTTGAAACTGGAAAACACACCATTGGACGGAAGCCCAGCTCCCCGGTTGAAGATATGCGACTTTGGATATTCCAAGGTAATCTTCATACCCTAGAATTATCACAACTATATTTTGATCACGTAAGCGATATTTTGCAGCCGTCTCTATTAATTAATAATATTAAAT